GTTATGGAAAGGATAATCAGCAAGGATACAGCGCTGATTCAACTGAGCGTAACTTCCCTGTTTCTGTTTTAGTCTTACTGGCGTGTTTGTCAAGCATGAGGGAGAGTGCTACTCCTGCCTCTTCGTGGACTGGTTTTTGCATTTAGGCTAATAGGAAGCTATGTCAACAATTCAAGTTTTACTCCTTTGAGTCAATTACTATAAATCTTTTTTATTTTTATTTTTTGAAAATCTATTATGTACAATTTCCTTTTCCTTTTAAATATATAATAAAGTTAGCATGTAACTTTCTGTTTTTCCCTTCCTCCCCCACCTCAGATATGGCTACCATTAGACACAAATATGTGTGTGTGTGCATGTATGCGTGTATGTGTGTATATTTGCATGTATATGTGTGTGTGTAAATCCATACTATACATACTTCTTTTTTGTCAATTCTTTCTCTGGATGCACATAGCATCGAGGTCTTCTGTAGTTGATTTAGGTATGTATAATACTCAAAATGACTTGGTCGCTGAAAGTTGTTCTTAAAACAATATTGCTGTTACCATACACTATGTTCTCTCGATTCTGATCATTTCACTTTTCCTTATTCGTGTGAGTCTATATATGTTTTTCTAAAATCATTGAGTTCATTATCTCCTACAGCACATCCATCACTACATCCTACAGCATTCCATCACGATTATATACCACAGCTTGTTAAGCCATTTCCTTACTGATAGGCATCCCTGAAATTTCCAGTTCTTTGCCACTACAAAGAGACTACTATAAATATTTTAGAACATGTGAATTCTTTTCCTTTTTCCCTAATCATCTTGGGAAATAGACCTAATAGTGCTATTGCTGGATAAAAAGGTGTAGGCAGTTCTATAACTCTTTGGGCATAATTCCAAATTATTCTCCAAAATGGTTAGACCAGTTCACAATTCCACAACAGTGAATTAGTGTCCCAATTTTCCCATATCCCTTCCAACATTTGTCACTTTCCCCTTCTATCCTTTTAGACAATTTGATAGATGTAAAATGATATCTTAAGGTCGTTTTAATTTGCATTTCTCTAATCGATAATGATTTAAAGCATTTTTATAATTGCTTTTATATAAATTGTTTTGATTTCTTCATCAGAAAACTGCCTGTTCATAACCTTTGACCATTTATCAATTGAGGAATGACTCATCCTTTTTTTTTTTTTTTGCTTTTTGGTATGACAATCGCGGTTAAGTGACTTGCCCAGCACAGCTAGTAAGTGTCATGTGTCTGAGGCTGGATTTGAACTGAGGTCCTCCTGACAGCACGGCTGGAGCTCTATCTGCTGTTCCACCTAGCTGCCCCAGGAATGACTCATTCTTTTAGATTTGACAAAGCTCTATTTATACTTGAGATATGAGACCTTTATTTGAGAAACTATAAAAATTTTCTCCCAATTCTCTGCTTTCCTTCTGATCTTGACTACATCGGTTTTATTGTACAACTCCTTTTGAATTTAGTGTAATCAAAACTGTCCATTTTACACCTCACAATGCTTGCTATCTCTTGTTTTTTCATAAATTATTTACAAATCCATAAGTCTGATAAGTAATATGTTCCATGTTCTTCAAATTTTCTTGTAATATCTCCCTTTATAGCTATGTCATACATCCATTTTGACCTCATCTTGGTAAATGGTGTAAGATACTATAAATCTTAATGATAGTTTCAATACCTTTTTTGTCTTTCATTTAATTTTTTTTCCAACAAACTAATTTTAGTGTCTCTTTTGCTTACTTCTGCCCCATCAGGAAAAAAAAGAAAAACAAAACCCTTGTAACCAATATGCATAGTCAAGCAAAACAAATTCATTGCATTGACCACACTGAAAAAAATGTATATCTTTTGAATTTTACATCCACTATCTGTCAGGAGGTAGGTAGCCTGATTCGTCACTGGTTCTTGGGAATCATGGTTGGTCATTGCATAGGCAGGAGTCCATAAATCTTTTAAAGCTGTTGTTTCAAAACCTTTTAAGAAAAAAATGAAACTAGCCCAGTCTACATGTCAAATATAGCTCCTACCATGCATATTCACAAAAAATTATGTTATAAGGCAGAATAGGATAAGGATAGTGAAGATATCCAGGCAAAGCGTTGTAAGAAATTTATAGGACAGAGTGATTACTTTTTAGCCAGAAGAATCAGATAAGTATTCATGGAAAAGGAGACATGAGTGCGATCTTGAAGAAAGGACAGATTGTAATAGGTAGTGTTTAGGGTTTAGGGAGCATAGACAGGAGAGGTAAGTTGATTATAGGGAAGGTAAGTAGTCTAATATGGCTGGAAAGTATAAGTTAGAGGTCATGGAATTTGGATCATCTAATTCAGTTCCCTCATTTTACAGATGAGAAAACTGTGGTCCATAGAGATTACATGAATTGCCCAAGGTCACAAGCCAATATTAGCTATTTTTTCCACCATTAGAACCCATCTTCAGATTCCAAACCCAGGACCTTTCCCTTAACAGATCTAAGGAGACTACACTAATAGCACAGATAGTCTGAATTGCTTTCATTTCTCATCGTTTGGTTCAGGAATGCAGCCCTCTCTATATATGTGATGAAGGGGATAATGTTAGAGAGTGCTGGAAAAGCATTCATAGTGGGCAGCAAGGACACAAAGAAATGAGTTTGCTATTGGATGTGCTCCTCCTAAGAATGCCCCAGCTCCCAGGGTCAGCCTGATAGATTGTCCCTTCTCTTGCTGTTCACAGACCACATCCCAGGCTCTACAACTACCAACACCAACTATCTAGTGAGGCCAAATAAAAGGCTTGCAACTGATAAAAATTTCATTTTGTGACTCCAAGAACTATCTCAGTGTTGTGGGTCTTTGCCTTTGCCACCATGAAAGCTTGAGCTAGTAGACTAGCTTATTAATGCCCTTTCTAAAATATGGCATCCATAATTGACCATGATATTATAGACTTAGTCTGATCAGGGCAGTATACAGGATGATCGTCATCTCTTTATTTCCTGAGACTTTGTCTCTTGTAATGCAGCTTTTTCGTATTAGTTTTTTCAGTTGCTTTTTCATATTAGCTTTTTCAGTTGCCATATCATTCTGTTGAGTCACATTGAGTTAACGATACATTGAAACACCAATATCTTTCTCAGATGACCTGTATAACCACATTTTCACCATTTTGTATTTGTGAGGTTGATTTTTTTTAACAGTATAAGAGTTTATATTTATTGCCATTAGATTTCATCTTAATAGATTTATTCCCATGTTCTAGACTATCAAGACCTTTTCGGTCAATTCTATTTTCTAGTTCTATAGTCATTTTTCTTAGTTTTATGCCATGCCATCTGTACCTCAGTCCAAGCCATGGCAAAAATATTAACTAGTACAGGGTCAAGCATAGATCACAGGGGTATTTCTGTCAAGAATTCTTGCAAGTTTATTCTTTAGCCATTTGGCTAGTTCGGCATCTATTCACTTATACTATCGCTTGGCTAGACCACATCTCTTTATTTTCTTCAAAAGAATAGCTTGAGAGACTTCATTAAATGTTTTGCCAAAATCAAGGTAAACCATATCTATTGTGTTTCCCTGGTCTACTAGGTAAAAAAAAAAATCCTGTCCAAAATAAAGTTAGTTACTTTTATCCAAGTATTCTTTAAAAATTATGTAACCCAAGGCTCAAAATCCATTTGCACAAATCTCTCCTCACTGGTGAAAACTGATTACTTAATGTTCTGTTGCTGCATCAGAGACAGAATTGGTAAGAACTTGGGAGAGAAGAGAGATTCTAGTCTGGCTTCTAGATTCAAGAGAGGAGATGTGATTACAGTCTTTGAGAAGACTGGGATCTTATCTAAATAGTCTTTAAGCCATGGGTTAAAATTATAAGCATGGTAACACCTATACACCTTTAGATCTGTGGATTTTTCTTAGGGCAGCATAGAAGCAAAGGGACAAAAGTACAAACAGCAAATAATTATAAGGAAATGTACCTATGTGTACTGAGCAGTGCTGGAAAGTAGACTAGTTACATTTTTGTTAAGCCACACACTTGCCAGAATTTCTCTGCTGGTAGTTTGGCGGTTCATTGCTTCTTCTTCCTCTGTTGTTCTCTAAGTGCAGTTCACAGAACAATAAGTAACGTTCCATTGTGTTCTGAGATAGTCACACTCTGAGTACAATGAATTCTAATGGTATTTTCATCCATGACTATACACATAAAATACACCACCATGTCACTTTCAACAAAAGGCTAACCCCATAGGTGTATTTTTATATGTCAGAGAAATTTTTCATGCAGCAAGAAACTGGTGCACATTCAAGGCTAACAGTTGTGATCTGGACCCAACTCCAGTTTAGTTCTTAAAGCATAGGTTTGCAGATGGCAGCAAAGAATGCTTTTTATTAACAGCAAATGAAGAAACATAAATAATAAATGATTGGAATTTTTACATAATTTCATATCTTCTAGGAAATCCTCTTTAAAGAATATTATTAGATTTGTGGGAAAAAAAATAATTTTAATGCTGGGGAACTCATGATGGAAGGATTCCCTTTATCAATTGAACTAGAGTTCAATCTATAGATACAACATGATAGATAAGTCCTAGGGAATTATCTGAGAAGCACAGAAATTAGGTAACTGACTTCTCTATTGCTTAACAAAAGTAGCAAAATGATATATTCTCTGAAAATAAGACTCTTTTGTTCTGGATTTTATTATCTAGTTCATTAGTCATCTTTCTTGGCTTTGTGTCATGCCATCTATTCCTCGGTGCAAGTCACTGACAAAAATGATAACACACATAGGGCCAAGCACAGATCCCAGGGGTCCTTCACTTGAGCATTCCTTGCAATTTGATTCTTTAACTGTTTGTCTAGTTTGGAAAACCAGCTACATATCTGATCTCATTTGCCCTCTGAACAAACTAATAACTGTTCTTTTCTTAATACCAGAATTTTGTCTCCATAAAATTTTGTTGAAAAAAGTCAACACCCAAATATTTTTGATATGTCCTTTATTATAAACAGTCATTGAACAAATATATCTACATTAAAATACACTGGAAGCAGTAATGCAGTTGTAACTTTTACTTGGGAAAATTAAGTGTCTTCCTCTCTCATTTCTATGAAAGAAAAAGAACATTCAGGGGTTAGCATTTGAAGAATGTGCCAAGGAGTTGAAATGTGCTGAGATACAAAGCAAAGGGACAGAAGTACAAATAGCAAGTAATTAGAGGGAAATCTATTCAAACGTACTTCACAGTGTTAGAGTATCTGCACAGAGCAGACTAAGCCCATGCCTGGCCAACAACTCAGTGCACAGGGCTAGGCCCACACCTATCTGAATAACCAGAGTCAGAGAAAGAGCACTTTTCTAGAAAGCAACAAAATAGCAGAAAACACAAGAGTACAGCATAGGGGTGGGACTAGTGTTGCTTGAAGCTGGTATCTATGGAAAGAAGTCAGAGCAAGGTTCTGCCTTCTCAGATGGTATTTTTTTGTTGCGCCTTTGGTCGTCAATTCTCTCGTTGCCTTGATCCCAAATTTTATCTTCCGTGGAGACCTGCAGGAAGCAAGGAAGGCTGCCTAGTGAAGAAGCACCTCAGTTGCAGTGGTTGAGATGATTGCTTTAAATTGCCTCTAGGTTTTGTGAAGTTAAGACATCAAACACTTCTGTTATTGAAAAAGGTGGAAGAGCATAAAATGTAAAGTTCTTTTTTTTCCCATTGGATTATTTGTCTAAGAAAGGACATTGAGGGTACCATTACTTGTGACTATCTGTCAGTTCAATTCAACAAACTGCAGAGGTGGGCAAGTGGATAGAAAACAAACCTTGGAGTCAGATACACTAGGGTTCAAATCATACCTCTGACATATACTGACTGGGTTACCCTTGGCAAGCCACTTAACTTCTCTTGGCCTCAGTTTGCTTGTCTATAAAACAATAATAGTAGCAACTACTTCATAGGATTGTTGTGAGATTCTACTGATATAATATACGTAAAGCATTTTGCAAACCTGAAATCATAGAGACTGAAACCATTGGTATAAGGAACTTCCAGGTGAAGAAACTCTCTCTGACACTGCGGATCAGCACCTTCTCTTCAACTTACTATCTTAGAAAGTTGTCTAGAGCACTGAGATGCTTGTATGACTTGCCCAGGTTTTTCCCACTTCAAGCCCAGTTCTCCAACCACTGCCTATAAGAACTAGATGAATATTACATATTATTAACCAAATAAAGTAACACTAAATTTAGATCAAGCCATTTCTAGACACTTATATGTAGGAATAAGGTAATGTCAGTTAAAGAAAAATACATTCAGAAGATGAAATACAGAAATGTAATGGGGACAGATAGGGACTAGACATGATTTCATCAGTATGGGGAACTCTCAGATAAGGAAACAACTTCTGTGATGCAGATTTGCACCTTATTTTCCATTTATAGTCTTAGAGAGATGCCCAAGGTACTGAGATGTTGAGACCTGCCCACAGTCACGCATCTGACAGTAAGTGTCAAAATCAGAACTTAAGCCTAAATCTTTCTGACTTTAAGGCTATGAATTGGCCTCCCCGGTGTACTACACCGCCTCTCACACATACGTAGAAGATATGGGATTAAGTCTTTTCTTCAACCATTTAGCAACAGTTTAATAATAGTTTCCAATACATAGTAGTGTAATAGCTTCCAATACATAGTAGTGTAATAGCTTCCAATACATAATAGTGTAATAGCTTCCAGACTTACTTTTGTCTTTGGCTGGTTTTCTGAGCTTTTTGCTGACTTTGGCCCCATTGCCTTTGTTGTTTTTGAGATGCTGGTGGCATTTCTACAGGCTATTCTCCTTCGTAACTTGACACCTAGGGACATATATGATGACTGTACAATGGTACTTTATCTGTACATGGTACTCTAATACATCTTAATCTGTATATAGTATTTTAATATATCAAAAATTTGTGACTCCATTGATGGGGGTACTGCCTCCATTGACACAGATAGCAATCTTTCCACACCTGAGGAGCCAGTTCCACGCATGATGATAGCTCAAACATTCATTACTTGGTTGCCAATCCTTCGGGGATGAGCCTCTAGCACAAACCTAAGCTGGTCCCTCATTAGGCACAAAGTCTTCTCAATTTAGTAGCACCTGCCAGTTGTCCCTTCTGATATAGGCTTTAAAAAATCCAGGTTCATTTCCATGTAATGAGGAGGCATGAGTATAGGGCCCTTTTGGATGGCTTGCATAGTACACATTATTATTGGAAAATGACTACCTCACACATCAAAAATGTTTTATTTCCATATTCAGTAGCTCTGATAAATAATTTCTCTCTGCTACATGTAATGGGAAAAACAGGTAACCTTTGTACTTCTGACTTCCACAAGTCAACTAGGGTTAGCTAATGAAAACCTAATTGGCTTACAAACTTTTACTCTAATTCATAAAATCATTACCTTACCTTTTCTTTTAAAGTAAAGGAAGACAATGACCTCAATGACAAAAAAAAAAAAGAACAGCCCCATATGTAGCAAAACATTTATAGCAACACTTTTTGTTGTAGCAAAGAATGATGCCCATTGATTGGGAAATGGCTAATCCTATTGGGATACATGAATGTTAATGGTATATTACAGTGGTGAAAGAATCGACAAACATGAATTCAGAAAAAAGTAGGAAGACTTATATGAACTAGTGCAAAGTGAAATAAATAGAACCAGGAAAACATACATAATGAGTACAACAATGTAATTGGAAAGACAAAACTATTGAAACTAGATGATATGAAATGTTAATGCCCAAGCATTAGAAGAGATATGAAAAGGTACTTCTTCCTACTTCTTTGAAAAGGTGAGGGATAAGGCTTGGAATCCTGAATATAATGTCAGACTTTTTCAATATGTTGGTTTCTTTTGATTCTTTTTTATTCTTTGTTCTAAGGGGTGAATTTTTTGAAGGAAGGACAGTATGAAATGTTGATGACATAAAAACAAAAGTTGGTCAATAAATACCTTCCTGGTTTCCACTCCATAGAAGATGCCCCTGACAGGTTAAGCTCATCATTTCTAATCTCATCACCACGCCCAACTCAAGCCTTGATTGACTCCCTTAGCCTCCTCTCTCCTCTTTTTGGAGGGCTGGAAGACTACCAAACTTTTCCCACTAATTTCTTTTTATAGAGGACAGAAACTGGGCTTTTCAGCTCACTCTACTCTGCATCAGCTGCTCTCTGTTGTTTCAACTTGATAGGAAAAAATGTCCCCACTCTAGATACCCCCAGTTTCCCCTCTCCCTCCTGCTTTCCTGCCTCCATTTTTGTGTTGTCTCCCTGCATTAGATTGTAAGCTTCCTGAGGGCAGGGACCATCTTTTTTATTTATTTATTAATTGTATCCCTAGCACTTAAAGTGCCTGGCACATCTTAGGCACTTAATAAATGTTTACTAAATATTGGGAAAAATTAATTTTAAAATTGATTTTTTTAATTGAGAGTGAGTTGAAAATAACTAAGCTTACTTTGTTTCTGAGCATGTTCTACTGCCTTGGAAGCTGTTAGCATGGCAAAAGGATGCAATGAGAGATGAATACTTTGGGCCCGAGGAACCTGGAAGGAAAACAGTACAACTTTAAAATAATGAATGTATTTGTGCCTTGAAGAGAAGTTATTCATTTCCCTTGGCTTATTTCATCAATCAATCAACAAATATTTAGTAAGAGCCTACTATGTGCCAGATATTATGCTAGGCACTAGGGATACAAGCACAGGGAATGAAACAATCACTTGTTATTCAATTACCCTCTTAGTTATTAGACATAATTAACATTCCATTTTATATACCACATTTTATATTTCAACATTAACTTCATTCCTGTTCAACTAAGCCCTATTCCTCCTCAAGTCCACTCTAATATGGCTTGCCCCCCTGTTTAAGACCACTGGAATCCTTACTTTATACTTAACAAACTCTCCTATCTATATCCTTGAATGATTTGTTCAACACTCTATCTCCTTGTTCTAACTGAAACTTGTTTTTTCACTGAGCATACCATACTCCTTACAACCCTCTCCCATTGGTGGTTTCTCCTGGAACTTCCTGACTTGCAGCATCAGAAGAAGTTTGCATACTCTTTCCAACCCATTAGTACTTCCAGATCATTCCTTTATTACCTCTAAAGTTGACATAATTTATTTATTTCCAATACTTTTGGTTGTTACCTTTCAACCTCCAGGTCAGTTTCCCAATATACAGACTCATCTTCCTTATCCATAAGACCAGTTATGTTATACTTCTTTTCAAAATCCTTCAATAGCTCCCTGTTGTCTAACAAATAAAGTTCATACTCGTTTGCTGGACATTTAAGGACCTCCACATTCTGGCACTGAATAAACCTTGTAATATTCCACCCCGCACCCCAACCATATAATCTAAACTAGACTATTCACCCCATCCCCAAAACAAAGCTCACATGTTTTCCACATCTGTGTCCTTGCTCGTGTTTTTTTCCCCCATGACTGTAAAGACCTCTTCTCCTTCCACTTAAAATTGGAATTTCTGTCCAATTTTAGAGTTCAAACTCAAGGACTATCTTCCCTGATCTCCAGTGACTGGATCCCACTTAGAACTACACACCCTCTTAGGAGCTTGTGTGTTATTTGGAATTACATTTATTTATGTGTCAGCTTCCCTCAGTAGGCTATGATTTCAACCAGGGAGGAGCCATATTTTATATAAATATCACACTTTATTTAGAGTCCTCTGCCCCCAATATGGATCAAATAAATGTTTGTCAAATTGAATTGGAATACTTTTCTAAGTCTATGATTTCACGGGGTTTGGTATTCCCCTCATTATGAAGATTGCAACCTTTCAGTAGACTGTCTTCTGTTAAGTTGCTGGGGCCAAAACCAATTAATTATCTGGTAGACAACCTTTAGGGGCTGAGGCACTCTAGTCTGGAGGTCAAATACACATTATCATTGGGCCTATACTCAAAGCCTTTCTAGTGCGGAAAGCTTTTCCAGCATTTGCATTTTGTTGGCATAATCTTAGAAAACCCAGGGCTACCTCTTTGTCACAAGAAAGTGTTAGGGCAGACCTTTAGTGGAGAGCTGCATTTTAAAAAATTTTGCCTTATAATTTTTCTTTATCATTTATATCACTTCTTTATGTGGGCTTCATTCCACTTTAACCTATGATGCCTTTAGCAGAACCTTGCCTCATCCTACCAGTGAGAGAAGATTAATTGACAAAATGAAAATGATTAATAACTGAAAAATGTAAGTACATCTATGACAGGCAATTTTTCCACCTCCTCAATGACAGGTTCAGTCTCTATATTCACAGCACGGATCCTCTGACTCCAAACCAAGAGTTCTTTCTATTGCACCATCCAAGCACAACAGGAAAAAAAAATCTAATTTAAATTCCTAGTCAAGTGCTTGCTCAGCTCTGTTCTTGGCAACATAAGCAAACATCTTATACCTCCTACGTACATAGCATCTCATCTTACAATTCATTATGCAGTAGTCTACACAGCAAGTCTTAAAGGTCAAAGACTGTCTTGGGAAGAGATAGAAGTTGTCATGAGATTAATCTGTGGAAAGACTTGTTGGCCCCCATGTCTGGCCAAGAAATGATCAGTTAACCATCATTTGGAATGATGGATGGCATGTTGTTATTTCCTCCTTATCCTGTCTTGTTACAAATGGTGGTTTCCATAACCTCATATCACAAGCTCATAGCTAAAAGGGATTTCAGAAATCTTCTAGTCTAACTCACCCCCCACCACCAATTTACAGATGAGGAAACTCAGGCCCAGAAAGGCTTGGTAGTCAATTTGTCCAAGATTATACAGGTAGCAAGTTGCAGAGCCAGGATTGAACATAGGTCCTGACTCCATCAACTATATTTTCCTCTGCCCCCCTCACCCATTTCCTTCCCTCTCTCACATATACACATATGTGTATATATGTATATGTGTGTGTGTGTGTGTGTATGTGTGTGTGTGTATGCCCCCATACTTGATGACACGCTGGAAATGGCAGCACTGCTTAGAGGACAAGAAGCAGAATATCAAGGCCAACAATGTGAAATGTTCAGACTCAGTGGGAGTGAACCATGAGAGCTGGTTCCCACTTAATCCTATCTATCCTTCAATAAATACTTCTAACCTTATAACCATAAATATTCCTCATGTTTTAATTTCCCAGATCTTGTCATTTGAATCTAAACAATGATTGCCTGGTCCCTGAAGCTAACATGTAATGCAATTGAGCATTTACTGAGCACCTACTATGTACAAAGCACTGTGCTAGGTTATTTGTGGGATACAAAGAAAGAGACCTGGTTCCTGCCTGTAGGAAGCTTAAATTATATTTAAGATATCCACAAATACAAAACTTTTCTTTTCAGCAATTAGTAGTGTAAGGCAAGATAAAAGTTGGTGAGGCCTTTCTTTCTGTTTCTGTTCTTTTGTACAGCTGAACTGGAATTTCTGCTGTCCGTGGTACTGAGAGCAAACTGAGACCACTTCTCTGATTTCTATAACCTCTGAACCATTAAGTCTATTTTTCAGAAAATCAGGATAAGCCCAAATAAATGCTAGTTGTCTGACTGAAAATTATCTCAGTGACCCATCCAACTCTTTCAGACTAAGCTATTGATGAATGGCTGATCTTTATCAATGGAGAAAGTTTATACATTAGGAAGATTCCAATACTGATGAAATCAGAAGTCTAGCTCACTTCCCCCACTCCCAAAGCATTTATCACAGTTTATATATTCATACCTTTTTTTATTTTAAATCTTGACAATTAATTCCTGGGTGCCTTAAAAATTTTGTCTCCAGCATGGATTTTTTTCTGTATGTGTCTGGTCAAGTCTACTGCCTCTTCCATTAAGAATCACTGACATGTATTCCCAGATTATATTGGGTGAATGAGGTTTAAAGTCTAAATGTGACAGTTCCATTCTCATCACTGATGTGAATAGATTGATATTAAAAGACTGGCAGATCTGTTCCATTTCATGTTTCTTTGTTACTTACTTTTGGTTTCATCTTCATATGCTTTTGGAATCAACTGACTAAGCTAGATCTGACGCCAACTACCTTGCAAGTTTGTTTTCCCTTCAACTGATTTTGTTTTATACAGTGACATTGCTCATAATTTTCCATCTTTCTCCTCCATAATGTTTTGTTAATATGCTTGTGCTCTATGTTGCCTTGGATGCCAAATTTTTATACTTGCCAACTAAGATGGTTTACCCTGTCAACCTCTTCAAAATTGAAACTATTTTGCCTCAGGAAACTCCTCTAAAATGGTAATACAGTCAACATCTCTTTCATTCTTTGCATTTCTCATTTTTCCCCAGACTTGACAGCATATCATGTTGGATGTCCTTTGAAAACATTCAGTGCTGTCATTCTATATTTTTTTTTCTAATTTGGTACAAAGATTTTGAAGGTGGGAGGACAGAAATGATTTTAAACAGGACCAAGGTCAGGGTGGGGTAGCCATTTCAGTGAAAGCTTCAGAGAGAAGGCACTGCTGGAAGAGGAATTTGGCATTCTAGGCCCATTCTAGTCTTTTCCTTCTCCATCTAGTATTCTCCATTTCACCTTCTTCTTTTAGTTAGTATCTTTTTTATTTTCCCTGCTTCCCTTCTTTTTTCTCTGTTTTCTCCCCCCACATCTGCTTCATTCTCTTTACCTTAATACCGTGATACCAATGGCAATGATATGTAACTTAAATAAGTATATATTTTTCTTAGTTCTTAAATTTTAAAGTAGATGAATTGAACACTTTAGATTTAGCTCCACTTTCTTTTTTCAAATGAATTGAAGAGTTGTATCTATTATAACTATTTTCTTTTACTTATTTGTAACTCTTAATTGCTTTTTTTGTTTTTAATTCTCTGTGCTAGTGACCAATAAAAATTAAAACAGAAACTCAACTCAGTGTCAGTAAGGTACATTATTATGATACAATACTGAGTTGTATTAATGCTGTAATTACACTAGATGGCAGTAATGGTTAACAATAAGGGACATAAAGGTTGTACTGTACCTCTACCTGTATTGATCAAATGATTTGTAAAGTACTTTGCAAACTTTAAAATGCTATGCAAATGCTAGCTATTAGTGTATTTCACTACAAATACACTTATGAATGATTTAGTAGAGTATAATTAAGACTCAACGTAGGGTAGAGCATAATGTTTAGCAACCCAAACTATAATGCCAATTTGGCAAAATATGTAAATTTTCCATGTTGGAATTCTCTGCCCTCTTCTAGGCAGTGTTCTCCCCCCTACCCACCTCCCTGAAGCAATCTGGGTTAACTGACTTGCCCAGGGTCACACGGCTAGTGAGTATCATGTGTCTGAGGCCAGATTTGAACTCAGGTCCTCCTGACTTCAAAGCCAATGCTCTATCCACTGCTCCTAGCTGCCCCTGAGTCAGTCTTTTAAGTTAAATTCTAAGTAGTGAGAATGTCTGGTAGTCAAATTTGGGGAAGTAGCAAACATTTGTTACTGATCTCTAATGGGGTTTAGTGGTTGGAAAACGCTATTCTAGAGAAATAATTAGTCCTTTACCTTCTCTAGCACTTTAAGATGGGTAGCACATTCTTCACAACCTGCCTTGTCTGGTATGTACCTGGTATGTCACAGGCAAAGAGAGGTTTCCTAGGTTCATGTCGCTCAATTTTTCTGGTATTCAGTTTCCTTATCTGTAAATTAGCAGCTTGGAGCTTTAAGTTTTTCCAGCTTTAAAATCTCATAACCCAGTCATTGCCCATTAGTGGTTAGACAGGTGACACTTTATTTAAGAAAAAAAAACATAGTTGTTCACATATACATAGGCACAAGGGTGGCTAATGATAGAGTACTAGACCCAGAATCACAAGAAGACCTGAGGTCAAATCCAGTCTCTGACACTAGCTTTATGACTCTGGGCAGGTCACTTTACTTCTGTCTGCCTCAGTTTCCTCATCTGTAAAATGTGAAACGTAAAATAGCCACCAATCTCCCAGGATTGCCGGGAGGATAGGATGAGATAATATTTGTAAAGTCCTTTATAAACCTTAAAGAACTATATAAATGCCAGCTATTTTATTACATAAAATTTAAGCAAAAACACAGTGGAGTTGTCTTTTAAAAAACAAGAATGTTTTCTATTATGTAAAGGTATTATATTAAACCTCCAATAAATCCTCTAAGAGACAATGACCACTTGAACCTTAAGTAAATGCCTTTAAAATGAGAAATTCTTTTAATTTTTCATATAGTTTCTCATTTCCATAAAAGGTATGACACCTAGTTATTGCTTAATCTAATATTGCATCAATCTAATGAGTTGCTGCAAGAAAAAAAAGAACTGACCTGGGTTTCTGAGACCCTGGGTTCCAATCAGTCAATCAATAAACATTTATTAAGAGCCTATTATGCCAGGCACTATGCTATGTGCTGGGGATACCAAAAAGGCAAAAAATAACTTCTCAAGGAGCTTACAATCTATTGGGGGAATTATAATCTAGTGTTCATCCTTTCACCCACTGTAGGAATTTTCTCTACAACACTCTTGATAGCTAGCGCTTAAATATTTCCAGTGGTAAGGAACTCACTAGTTTTCAGGAAAGGATAACTCTCATAAGATTACCGAATCATAGTTTTAAAGCTCCAAGGGATCTCAGAGATCATCTAGTCTAACTCCCTTATTTTACATATGAATCAATCGAGACTTAGAGAAATTAAGTGACTTGCCCAGGGTCATAGGGGTGATAAGTTACAAGAGCATGAATTCAGAATCAGGGTCTGTCACTCCAAGCTGAGTAAACTTTCCACTGAATCACAGATATCAAGGGGAAATCTGCCCAATAAACTTACATTTATTGGTCCTAGTTCTTCCCTCTGGAGCTACATAAAATAAGTCTATTCCATTTATCTACATCATAGGTCTTCAAATATTTGAAGACATCTATCATTTCTTCCCTTGTTCTTCTTTACTCCAGCCTAAACATCTCCATGATAGAGTTTCCAGACCTCTCACCATCCTTATTACAGTCTTCAGGATACCTGCTTCTTTGAAAATGTCTTCTACACAACCATTATTCCCAACTGGATGCAAGATTCTAGCTTTGGTGTGGAAACTACTTGTGGATTAATACAACCTAAAATTGCATTATTTTTTTAAGTAGCTGGATCACACTGTTGGCTCCTAATGAGCTTATAAGCAACTAAACCTCTAAGTCTTATTCATACAAACTTCTAAGCCAGTTCTCTCACAGTCTGTACTTATGTAATTGATTAAAAAATATATTTTTTTAAAGGAATATGTCTTCTAGCTTGCCCAGGCTTGAAGTTCAGGACTTACTTATGGGCCTAATCCCATTCTGATCAGCTTTGGAATTTTGATCTGCTTTGTTTCTGTCTGGGGCTGATTGCCCCTCCTCAGACCACTTGGTGGCCCCCGCTTCTAGGGGCGTACCATACTAATGCTGAAATTAATGCAGACAGCAAGCAAATACCATAATTCAAGCCTTAATTTATTGTTTTGTTGATTGCCCACACTTAAAAAGTTGATGCAGAAATGTGAATAAGGCAGATTAAACTTTACAATCCCCCCATTGTTAAACATTTACAAGCATATCCCTTATAAAAGGCATCATCAAAAATAGGTATTAATGGAAAATTAATGGAAACTAGGCCAGTTGCGTAGTGAGGGTAAAGGATAACAGAGGGCTCAGTGTTATACTGGTGTCCATGAACTATTAAAAAGAAAAAAAGAAGTTGCTATTCAGTTGTTTCAGTTGTGTCTGATTCTTCGTGACCCCAGTATGTGTTTGGTGGAGCCTGAAAGATAGTTTTGACCATGTCACTCCTCTGCTCAATCAGCTTCAATGATTTCTTAAAACCTCTTAAAACCTCAGGCACAAATTCCACTGTTTGGCTTTTTAAGTCCTTCAAACCTTGATTCCAAAATACCTTTCCAGGTTTATTTTACATCACTCCCCTTCACGCATTCAGTGGTACACTCAAATTGGCTTCCTTCCTGTTTCTCATACGTGACATTCCATCACCTATTTGAGCCTCTATGTAGCCTGTTCCCTATACATGGGATGTATGGCCCCCCCTTAGACTATTGCTTGTACCCTGCTATATCCTTGTAAATGAAGAATTGAGACAATTATCCAAATAACTCAAAAGGAAAAAAAACAAGCATGTTGTTCGATTCTTTCGACAATTCAAGTGAAACTTTTTTTTTAAGTAGCAGTGGTCTGAATAATTGTCTCAGTTTGCCACAATTCATCAATCAATCAATCAACAAGCAGTTATTAAGCACTTACTGGGTACTAGGCACTATATAGAAACATTAGGTATACAAAGACAAGAATGAAACAATCCCTGTTCTTAAGGAGCTTATATTCTATTGGGTTGGGGATGGGGTGGGGGGTAACATGTTCATATGTAAGTCAATAAAAGATATTTTCAAATAAATACAAGTATAGAATTAGATAGTGTACAACACTTAATTTATCAAAGTATTCAGATCTGTGACATAAAGAAATTTTTTTCACAATAATCCTACCAGATTTGTGCAACATTATAAAACAAATTAGAGAACTGAACCCAGGTCTCCCAGCTGTTTGTCTAACCCACAGAATTCCATATATTACATGAAAGGCAGTATCTGGGAAATTTCATAAATTTCATTTCATAAATTTTTATTGACCCAATAACTTTCTTGGTTTTTAAAAAATATTTTGTTGACCAAATGTTATTAATTTAAACCTTTGCCTTGGAATGCATCACATTTATCAAAAATAAAGATAAAATGATGGCGAGTCGAGGAGAGGTGAGAGGCACAAAGAAAGAAAAAAGAAAGAAAAGAGGGACGTGAAAGCATTTTTTAACATACAGAAGAGAACAGAAGTAATCACAGACAAACAGAATAGCTTTGAAAATTCCATGTTGAATTTATCACTTTCTTAAAAAGAAAATTGAGATGTACATAATAGAGATTTTCAGTTTTGTGCACAGTTCTCTTTATCTCTTCTACTACATATATGGAAATGCTCATTTTGTCTGGTATTCATTAAGTTCAGAATAAAAACATTAAAAAAAAAAGATAAATAGGCAATCTGTTAATGACTTACCTTCTTAGCACCAGGCCAGTTCTTTGAAGAGGGGTAAATACTATAAATTTCAAAGATTTCTTCAATGGGGAGACTGTTCTGTTAAACAAACATTCATTATGTTTTTCTGCATCTTAAAAAATAGATATCATGTCCCCAATTAATATCAAGAGTCCTTTATGTTTCTTAATCATAAGATTTACAGTATTAATTATTTCACAATGAGCCTCCAACTATGACATATTTTTCACATTTTTGCCTTTCAGATAAATGTTGCTAAAATGGATCTATTAATAATACTTAGAGAAGTTTCTTAAATTATAGGAAAACAGAGCTTAGAATCACTGAATCATAAGATTAAATTAGTAAAAGATCTTGGAGATAATCCAATCCAACTCCATCAAGTTTCCCCTTCCCCTCAAACTATTCTTCCCCTCTCTCCTCCCTCCCTCTAACCCATTCCCACTCCCCAGTTGTCTGAGATGAAACTGAGGCCAGAGAGGTTGGGTGATTTTCAAAAGATTACTCAGCTACAACAGAACTTGATTTTGAATCCAGGTCTGTGTCCCTCAATACAGTGCTCTTTCTATTACACTAAATTCTTTAACTTTGCTTTTAAAAGTACTGTATGTATATGTAAATCAGAAACATCCAACAAACAAGAGGGGTAAACACTCTTTAATAAAAATTTCATTTCCCCCCTTACCATTAGGATCCCAGCATAAAATGATAGAATCATAGCTTCTCGTTCAAGACGATTAGGAAATACATGCCTGCAATGGAATGGTACCTTCCTAGGAAGTAAAATATAAATAAGTTTGGCCCCAGATTGCAGATGATGACATACATAGTATTTATATGCTGCTTAATTTGCATATCAAGATAATGCAACTCATTTGACCCATTATGAATAAGTAGCTTATATACTAAACATTACTCTCCCTACAACCCCCAGTACCTATGATAGATTTACACTGATTTATTCTAGGTTTTCCATTCTGTCTTCACTGTGAGTAATGGCCCACTGGAATAAAGTTGCCCAGTCAAAGACCATGAAAGAGAATGAAACCAATTGGCTACAGGAACTAAGCCTATGACCATAATTTTATTAAGGTGATACTCTAACCCAACGATTGCCAAAGTGGGGGCCTTCTGATCATATATGGGATTGTGACCTGACCTTAAAAGATGTGGAATCAACCAATCACAGGGTAGGAAGATTGCCTTCCCTACAAATTCTTGGTCCTACCTCCACAACAGACACACTCACTCACCTCCTAAAATGACACCTTCGCTCCACTGTTCAAGCTTCACCCTCCCCACACTGGGGTGTCAGCCCCTCTGGGCAGTTTTAAGCTAATGACTACCTGGAACTCACAGCAGTACCTGTGCAGAGCACTAAAAAAATTACCTTTCCCTTAACTCCCAAACTCCACCATCCACCAGTTTCCCAAACATATCCATCTTCTCTCCTCAGATCACCTTATGGTTATAGCAGGCTCTGCCTGAGCAAGCCCTGTGATCTGGAGGTGATAACTAGTAAGACCCCATTTTTTTCCCTTTTGGGTGGGAAAAGGTGAGTAGCACAAGAAGAGAAGGCATCAGTCATAGCATCATAGATCTAGAGCTGGGAGGGACCTCACAGGCCATCTAGTACAACTCCATCATTTTACAGAATAGAAAATGGAATTCCAGGAAGAATCAAATGAGATACCAAATGGGAAGTGCTTTGCAAACCTTAAAGCCATTATTATTGCTATTATTATTATTATTATTACTGTGCAGATAATAGTTGGATTATGATCTGCATTCCAGATCTTGTCACATTATCTTTCCCCCAAAATCTCTCCTTCTTTTAAACTTCCCAATTACTGCCAAGAACATCACCATCCTTCCAAGTCACCCAAATTCACAACCTTAGTGTCATACTTGAGTCCTCACTTGACCTAACCCCTCACATACAATCAGTTGTCAAATCTGGTCATGTCTCCTCCACAGCATCTCGTGGTGTCTATCCTCTTCTCTCTATTCACACACAGCTACCTCTCTAGTTCAGGCTCTGCTCTCATCTGAACTGCTTCAGTAATCCCTTAATTAGTCTCCCTATACCAGGTTTCTCTCTTTGCCAATCCATCCTCCATGCAGATGATTTTCTGAAAGCGTAGGTCTGATCATGTAATTACTCTACCCAATAAACTCTGATGGCATCCTGCTGACTAGGATCAAATATCTCATCATTTTAAAATTTCTATGTTTAAAATTTTACATTTAACAATTTTAAACATCAAATTTTTGTGTGTTTTGTGATATATATATATATACATACATACATAATTGTTTACACAATAATACACTATATAATTTTTAAATAAGCAAATATTCATGAATTGGGGGTGGACACTGAAAAGTTTTTATCGATGAGGTACACAATCAAAAATGTTTGGAGGTCACTGCTCTAAACAACTGAGTCACTTTAGACTGATAGATTAAGACACTAATAACTCTGAAAAAAGAGCTTTTGTGAACCAAACTGATAGCCTGGTAAACATATCTGCTTAATTCCCTAGGTCTTTTATTAATAGTCCTTAAGAAACCACTGCTCTCATTGTAAAAAAGACCTAGCCATTAAAAATCAGGGACATTTGAACAGCAAATCACAAGAGATATTCTAAGTCTCATCATAATTTTGAGGTAGGGTATTCTAGCCATAGTAATTTAATTTGATTATTTTCAGAGGAAAATTAATTATTGGTGATGTTTGGGACATGAATATATGCATCTCCCAAGTCAATGGCAATGTGAATTCCTTCCAATTTTGTAGGACTTAGAGCTGGAAGTGACATTAGAGTTCATCTGGCCCTAACTCCATCATAGCCTCTTACAGATAACAATACTTTCTTGGCCCAGAAAAGTTTAAGAGATTTGCTGGAGTTCACACTGTAAATATGTGGGCTAGGACCCAAAATCAAACCTTCTGATTGACAACTAGGACTCTTTCCACTCCAATCCACTGCTTTTCAAGCACAGTATCATAGAATGGTAAGGCTAAGAAAGACCCTTAAGGTTCACACAGCAAAGTCATTTTCAAGTTCAGCAGTTCTCTTGAACTATTAAAGCAAAACGAGTCTCAAGACACTCACACTTTCTCCCAATCCAAATGTATTTGGTCTTCTTTGTAACCGAGCCACTGTAATGCGACACTGATGGCCAAATCATAATGAGCCTGAAAGCAAAGATATTTTGCGTGAAAAGAAAATAACCACAGCAGCCACAGACCAGCTGCAACACCAACTTAGCAAATTGTTGAGATACCAACATTTGTCATGTATTAAGTATAAGCCAATGGATAACCAGGTTTCTTACATATCTTACCAGCAACTTATATGGCCCTTATAGGGACCCTATGCATTATTGGATTGACCTCTGGAAAGGAACTTAGAAGCCACTGCCTTCATCTTACAGATGAGGAAATGAATTTGAAGTGACATGGATAGTGTCAGCAGGTTCCCTGATCAAAACCAGTGCTTTCCCCCACTATACTGCTGTGCTTTCTCATTTGTTAAAGCAATCGTTTGAGACTTATTACATTTATAAGAGACTTGAATGAAACCAAATGATGGGAAATAAACCTAGAATGAACCAATCTAATTTGCTGAACAGAAGCAAACCTGAACAGTTTTTACTGAACTGTGAACCAAATTAAATTGTCAGGTTCTCTCCCACCAAAGTTTTCAGTAATTGAACACATCTTTTCAAAAGTATATAAATAAAACAAAACTATAACATAAAAAGATTTCTCAGATGAATGCTGAAAAACTTGATAACTTCATTTAATTCCTAGTCTCAATATGTCTTAGAATTGACTAATAGGTACTATTAATAAAAATTTAAAAATTAATAAAAGGGTTGCCAAGTGATGGGTTTTTTTTTATTAATTCTAATAATGATTTAATAAATTTATAGGATGTTAGACCTGTAAAGGACCTTGAAGATCACCTGGTCAGCCCCACTTGTTTTTAAGGACAAGAAAACTCAAAATCAAGTAGGTCAAGTTATTTACCCAAGGCTACATGGATAGTTAGGGGAAAAGCTAGGGCTAGAACTCAGGACCTCTGAGCCATTCTAGGGCACTTTGTACAGTATTACTTCTTTCAGTCTTCTCCTCCCAGCAGGGCTTAGTAAGTACTAACCAAACATTGATTCACTAATGTATGCTCTAAATTTGTCCAACAACTCTATAAGAGCTCCATGGCATTCTTGAATGAGTTCTTCTCCAAAAGGTTAAAAAAAAAACAAACCCAAACCTAGGCACAACATCTATTATTTTATTTTAGTATGGAAAAAAAATGTCATCTTTTAAAAATAAACCAACAAACCTCTATCCATCATTTGAGAACTCAGAAGCCACAATGAGAAAAAAAGGTGTGTATCATAAAATTTACATAATACTTTGAAATTTGCAAAGTGGACCAGGTAGAGTAATATCTTCAAATATTCTCAGTGCTAATATATTATTAGCTCTTTATTCCTTACTGCTTCTTTACATTTTTGGATCATGGATTTTTATTTAAAATGGCCAAAATAAGCATGTTCTCCTCAAATTGTCTCAAAGGAAGAATTATCTGTAGAAATAACAGTGGGGCTTACTTAGAAATCAATGCTACAGGGAAGCTGAGACTCGTGGGTAGATCTCTTGGATTTGGAAATTCTGCGTGAGAGTGAAGCCAGTCAGATATCCACACCAGGTCTGGCGGCAATATGGCAAGCCCCCAGGAGTGGAGGACCACCAGGCTTCCAAAGGAAGGGTGAATCAGCACAGACTGGGATGGGGGAGGGGAAGAAGGAAAGGTTAAAGCTTCCAGGCTGATCAGTGCTGGGATTGGACCTGCGAGAGGCCGCTGCACTTCCAGCCTGGGTGAGATGAGATACAGTTTCAAAACATAAGATAAAGTTTGCTTTTTTTGGGGTGGGGGTTAGGCAATGGGGTTAAGTGATTTGCCCAGGGTCACACAGCTAGTAAGTGTTATGTGTCTGAGGCCGAATTTGAACTCAGGTCCTCCTGAAATCAGGGCCGGTGCTCTATCCATTGTGCCACCTAGCTGCCCCCCAAGATAAAGTTTGCAACGTATTTTTATACATTACTTTGTTCAGTTCACAACGGTACTATGTAGCAGATGCTACAGTTGTACTTTTACCATTTTATACCTTGGAAAACTAAGACTTAAGGAGACAAAGTGATTTATCCACAGTTACTCAACAGTGTAAGACTTGGGATTTGAATTCATGTCTTCCTGACTCCAATTTCAGCATTTTGTTGCCCTTTGATAAACAACATCCCGACCTCCCCCCTATTCCTTTGTCATTTGGCTCAGAGATTATTTTGTCATCTATATATGAAGTCTCAATGTATTTATGGTTTGGTTTCTTAAAAACCATGCCTGTTATATGAGCTAAGGCAAAAATCATGTATGACAGCAGGGAAGGGAATACACATTTATTAAGCCCCTACTTTGTGCCAGTCACGGTGCTAAATATTTTACAAATATTATTTGATAATGAGCCATTGTTCTATCTATTAAGAAAATTGATATTCTTAACCCTGAAAAGGTTAACTGATTTTACAGAGTCCTCCCCAACAAAAAGCCTTAACACTCACTTGAATTCATTATTCTTCTGTGTGCACATTAAACCCCTAAAAGCTTAGTGAATATAAGGGGAAAAAAATGTCAGGTGGGGGGGGACTGCATTCTTGATAGATTTTGGTCACAGCATAGGCTTTAAAATGTCTCGCTTTCCAGTTTATAGACAGCTCCACTTTACTCAGGGCAGCTAGATAGTGCAGTGTATAGAGTGCCTGGCCTGGAGTCAGGAAGATGCATCTTCCTGAGTTCCAGTGCAGCCTGACACTTACTACCTGGGCAAGTCATATAACCTCATTTGCCTCAGTTTCCTCATCTGTAAAATGAGCTGGAGAAGGAAAAGGCAAACCAGTCTAGTAGCTGCCCAAGAAAAGCCCAAGTGGGTCACAAAGAGTCAAACATGACTGAAAACCAGCTAAACAAACACCACTTTACTCAGAGTCCTTTGGCTTCCGTCTCTAACACTCCATAATGACTGCTTCTAATCCAAAGTCCAAACCTCGTGAGTGTCTCAACACCATCTATTTTTTGTTTGTTTTTATTTCTACATGTAAAGCCATTCAAAAAAGTGAACACTTGACTCCCCTCTCTAGCTCCAGGAAAAATTTGAAACTCTCCATTTTTCAAATCTGTCATTTCCTCCATGACACAATGAAGAGTTGACTATATTTAAGAATAAACATGATCAGTATTTTTTCATTGTTTTAAAAAAATGAGAGAAAAAATATGACAGTAGGAAATGCAATGGCTTTGGAGTCAGAAGACCTGAGTTCAAATCCCAGCTCTGTCACTTACTACCTGTGTGACCCTGGGCAAGTCACTTCACCTTCCTAGGCCTCAGTCTCTTCATGTCTAAAGTGAGGGGTTTAGACTTGATGACCTATAATAAGACCCTAAATTAGCTCCAAATTTGTGATCCTATTAGTAAATAATTAGTAGAAAAGCGTGATTATAAATGAATCCCCAAAACACTTGACCCTGATCACACAATGGTTATCCTTTCTATGCCACTAACTCCATGCAAACCAGTCAGCAGTGATAACAGATTAGTGGCATAGTGGGTAGGCCATTGCATTAAGAGTCAGGAGGACTGGAGTTCAAATCTGGCTTTAGACACTCTTGGGCAGGTGACTTCACCTCGGTGAGAGGTTTCTTCTCCTGTAAATGGGAATAGTAGAGCACTTATCTTACAGGGTTATTGTGAGAATCAACTGAAATGCTCTACATAAAATGCTTTTGGCAATTGCTACTTATTATTTTATCATTTTGTTTTCTATCTTCCTTCTGCACAGAGTGGATCACAGTGACTAAAATGAAGGCTGGGCCTGGGATGGGGAAGGCTTGGCTAATAACTAGCATTTATCTAATGCTTTATGATGTGCAAAGCACTTTACAAATATTATCTTACTTTATCCTCATAGCATAGGAGACAGGGACCATTATCTCTATTTTACAGATAAGGTAATTGAGGTAGACTGAGGATAAGTAATTTGCCCACTCAGGGTCACATGGTTAGTGTCTGAGGTCACATTTGAACGCAAGTCTTCCTAACTCCAGCCCAGCGCTTTATCCACTGAGCTACCTACTTGCTTCCCAGGCAAACAGATGTTAAGTGACTTGCCTAGGGTCACATAGTTAGTAAGTGTCTGTGTCTGAGGCCAGAAGTGAACTCAGGTCTTCCTAATTGTAGGCCCAATGCTCTTGGGATTAAGATCTCTATTTATCATATCTCTAATGGTCTCATCCACCACATCCCATTAATAAACACATGAATAACACAAATATGACTGGCATAAATGTTTCATTCTTTACCATATCATCTAAATAAGTGAGTTGTCTTCTTCCCTTTGGGTCAAATTCATTTTCCCGAAGTCGGATGCCCACATAATCACACCTTCGAAAGCAAGAGAGCATTGTTGAGCCATTGCACATTCCTAGGTCACATTTCCCTGTCCTGTTAAGAGGGCTTAAGAAATCACAAATGCATTTACATTTTGAATTAATTCTTGATTTACATAGGATTAAAGATTTAGGGCTGGAAGGAATCTTTGAGTCCATCTAGCCCAATCCCTTCCTTTCACAGAACCTTAGAATTAATGTGGCTTGCCCAAGGTCACACAGCTAATGAGTGGCAGAGCCAGGTTTTGAACTCAGGTCCTTTGACTCCAAATCTAGCCTACTTTCTATTGTACCACAGATCTAAAAGACTGAATTTTGGCACACCGAAGCATGTTGTCAATTATCCCAAGGGATATTGTGAAATTTTCTGAACCCTCTAAAAATGGCTTCCATTGAGTCTCAAGTAAAATCTCAATATATTTTACAGGAAGCTTTCTCAACCCCTCCTAATTCTAGTGTCTTCCCTCTGTTAATTATTTCCTATTGATCCTGCATATAGCTTGTTTGTATATATTTGTTTGCATGTTGTCTCCCCCTTTAGACTGTGAACTCTTTGAGGGCAAGGACTGTCTTTTGCCTCTTTTTGTATCCCTAGCATTTAGCAGAGTGCCTGGTACATAGTAGGCACTTACTAAACATTTATTGACTTATTGATTGAGCTACATGGCATAGAAGCAAATATTGGGGAAGTGTAGCAGGAGAGAGGAGGAAGACTCTTCGAATCAAATGAGGAACAATACAATTTTCACAACTGTAGTAAAGCTGAGGCTCACCCATCTAGAAAGTAATCATCTTCTCCCCCATTTAGGAAGACATTGAAAAATATGACGAGCAGAACTGCTGAAACCCAAAACCCACAATCCAACATTCATTCCCCTGGCTTCTGGGGAGCAGGTACCAGTGAAGCCCAAGAATACTTACCTGTATCCTTAGCAGATCTTTTCTGGAGACTGGCAGGGGAAAGATGATGAGAGCAAAAAGGTCCCCTGCTGGAGGGGGACCCTTCGAAGGGGGAGAGATGTTACCGAAATGAGTGGCTTGGGACACAATAAAGTAAATGAAAGGTCAGAGGCGCAGAAATAGGAAGCTAAGGGCTCCAAAGAAAACATTCACCTACTTTCACAATTTTGCTTAGGGCTAGCGCTGATTATGAAAATATAAATTGTGCCAAGAAAGTTAAGCCAAATAATTCTATGGGTGTAGATTTATTATGAGTCCTGAAGGACTTTGATTTGGGTCATAAGGTTTGAAGGCTTAAGTAACTATTGCAGATTAAACTGCTTGGAACATTTTTTTCACGCTCCTGGGAGCCAGGTTGTTTTAGTCTAAGTAAAATGGACATTGATTATAAAAACACACTTATTCACACTTATTTGGTGTTTAGGTTCACAAAATATTTTCCCCAAAACAACCCTTTGAAGCAGACAGTATTATTATTATTATTCTCACTTCATAGATGGGGAAAACTGAGGTATAAAGAGATTAAATAAATGGCCTGGGGTTACCAGAATGTTAAATGTTGAAGCTAGAATTTGAACCTAAGATTCCCAACTTCAAGCCCAGCATTCTCTCCACTGCGTTATGATAGATTCTTTAGATGACGTAAATAAAGTAGCTGACATAAATGCTTACATTTTGCTTCTGATTGCCCGAGTGTTATTTATACATCCCCCACTCCTATTTCTACTGCTAGAGGCATCACTGCTGCCCAAATGGTCTCCGCAATTCTTGGGAGAACTTGGGAGAATTCATTCAACAATCATTATCAGGGCATAAAGATGAAAACAAAATAGTTCCTGCCTTTCAGAAGCTTAAATTCTACTGAAATGACAGGAAGATCTGCTCAGAGTAGAAGGCAAGGGCATAGTTTACCTTAAAGTTCAGCTCTGGCACTACCTTCTAAGAAGGTCCTTCCCTGATCCTGCCCCGCTCCCCTCCCAGCTACTTAAGGATTATTTTCACGTTTGTTTTTGTGTTTTGTTTAGTATGGTATAGGTGTTTAATAAATGCTGATTGATTGACAGTGGGCTAGAAAAGAGACCCTTGGCAACGTGACACTGATATGCATTATTGGTTCATGAAACAATAATATTGGTTTCCCTACCTCTCAACCAATACCTCTGAGTCCCCACCCCACCCCCGCCCCAGCTCTTGGCCAGAAAATGAATCAGAGAAAGATATCTGAAGAAACAAATTATTGGCAAGGGAAAATCTGATTTTATCCTAATCATTTTGTTTCTGGATCTGGAAGGTAGAGACCATATGGAAAGAAAAAGATTAATTGATAAAATACAAACTTCTTGAGAAAAGTGACTATTTCTTTTTTTCAGTCTGTCTCCTGTGTAACTTTGGCATATGGTAGACTTGAATAAATGCTAGCTGACTGACTGTTGTTCAGTCAATAGTTAAGAAAATGAATGATTAGAATTTAATCCTGGGCCTTTGGAGATAATCTTCAGAAACATCTCTCTAACTTTTGCTAATTTCAAATTCAAAAGATTGTCAGTAGAGAGAGACCCATGACTCCCTGTAATGAACAAACTCATTGTGTGGATTTTGTGTCTATGGGGGCAGACAGGCTAAAGAATGAGAAAGTTAAGATTCAGAGGGAATATCCAGGTGCTAACTGAACCTGCCTGATGGAAATGTGAAGCCGCCTGCCTCTACAGGAAATGTCAAGGCTTCTGACTCTTTCCACATGAAGAGATTCCTTCCCTTAAGTACTCTATAAGTAATAGACTGTTAGTCACAAAACTCATCAAGTACAGAATGAAAATACACATATTTTTCCAAATTCATACTTACAGAAGTTTTTTAATTTCTCTTTTCAGTAGTCTTCTTTCCATGAATAAAGATTTATCTGATGGATTAGGTAGATATTGCTTCCACTGCACCTAAAGACTTTGGGTAGTAAATAACAGATAATTTGGAGTCAGAGTTGCTACCAGTCCCCAGATCAGTCATGGAATCCTGGCCTCTTGGATCTAGAATGGATCTGAAAATATACAGAATTCATGAGGAGTGGGGGTGAGGGGCAGGAGAGAGTACCTTCACCCAAATCAACCATCCAGGGATATTTTCAGGCACTGGCTATTCTATGAAGATGGCATCTTATATTTACATACTTTATCTGTGTTAGCTAATTTGACTGTCAACAACCAAATTAAGGCACACGGGAGAGGTGCCAGGATCCCATTGTAACTAGGGGTTCACCATTACTTATAGTAATACATATACTTATACTTCTTCCCCCTCACTCCACTTCTTTTTGGAGCATGCTCAGGCACTATTCTTTGTAACCATGGAAACCTGAGTATGCAAATATCTTCTGCCTGCCTCAGGCTATGAATGACATCACTGGGTTGTGTCTGTCTTTGCTGAACTAGAACTTCCGGTACATACCAAAGTAGCAACCTGCTCCTCTTCCTTTCCAGCTTCTAAGTGTGAAAAACTGTTTTGAATTTGTGCCAGGAAGAGTCAGGTAGGGGGATGGTAGAAATTTTATTTCCCACCTGGTCCCATATAGCCATGGGAGTTCGTCCTACCTAGGCCAGCCTTGTGCTTAGAATAGAACTGCTTTTTTTCCCCTTCTTCTTCTTGTTTTTCCTTCCCTGACTACATCACTAAGCAGGAACCCAGAGATGGAAGAATCCAGGTGATTTTGTGAGTTTAAGAAAGAAATAAAGTCCTGGGATGGCCCCCAGACAGACAATTGTAGTTGCTATGGTAGCAAAGTGGGTTGGTGCCAAGGGAAGAGTCAGCATTGGAGAGAGAAGGCCAAACATAAACATCATGCTTGAATCACACTTGGCAATTGATGAGACTGTTCTCAATAGAGATGGAATGTAAAATAGCTAATCAGGAAAACTGGCAAACTGTATTTTGTCTTGATGAGGTTTACTGCCAGACTCCCAGCAGATTGTAACCTAGCTATAAACGGATTTTCTGAATCCTGTTTAACTCATTCTGTTAATGCACACGGTGATTATCTTTTGCTTATCACTGCTTTCAATATGGGAATAAAACAACCTTACACCTAATGTTTGGATACTCCTTTTACTCCCCCTTCCTTTGGCGGGAAACCCTACCCTACAGACAAAAATACAACTATCCCCAGAATAGCCACATATTCATTTTTCACTCATGTCTGACTCTTTGTGACCCCATTTGGGGTTTTCTTGACAAAGTTACTGGAGTGGTTTGCCATTTCCTTCCCTAGTTCATTTTACATATCAGGAAACTGAGGCAAACAAGGTCAGGTGACTTGCCCAAGGTCACATAGCTAGTAAGTGTCTGAGGCCATATTTGAATTCAAGTCTTCCTGACTCCAGGCCCAGCACTCTATCTACTTCACCACCTAGCTGCCCTCAAAATAGCTGTGGTGGAGGTAATAGGGACTAGGGAATTACTTCCCCATTGAGAAGGTTGGCTTCCCCAAAGCTACACTTTGGGTAAAACATAATGGCAGATAAAGGATAAGAATTGATCTAGGTCCCTGTAACCTCAAACTAACAGTGCCTATCAGTCACTGTGATAGACTTATTTACTTGTTTTCAGTTGGTTTCATGGGCTCCAAATGCTCAAGGTGATCATTTTTGGGAAACCCCTAGTTACAACATTTTTCAAACATCCCATGGAAATGTTTGGGTACTTCACCAAGAGATCCATTGGCCTCTTCTGAATTTGTGTGAACTCTTCTGTGACCATTCACAGTTCAGGAGGAAAATGCTTTGACCCTTAAGAGAACAGCCATCTTCAGTCACTAATCCATGAACCTCCTAGCTCCATAAAGGATCTCTAGGGGATGCTTGAAAGAAAGTGTAGTAAAGAAGCATCAAAACAGGTCTCCTCATCCTTGAGTACTCATCCCTACCTTGCAGCAGATGCAGGGTTCTGAGGCACAAAAAACAATCCTGAAGGGGTGTGCAACTAAACATTTTAAAATCATCACTCTATAAAAAATAGGTGATAGAAATCTATCTGAATTAATGTCTAGTCCCCAAAGTGTTGTCTAATCATGAAGTTTAATTTAAAAACTTGGGAGGGGGAAACTTTTGTTTCTACACCACTTTCCATTTCCCAGTATATCTCTCTCCCCATCCCCACCCAAAGATGTAACCCTTACAACCAAAGATGAAAAGGAAGTTCAGCAAAATTAACCAAGAAAGGGGGAGAGAGAAGAGAGAAAGAGAGAGAAAGAGAGACAGACAGACAGACAGACAGACAGACAGACAGACAGAAAGAAACAGAGACAGAGAAACTGTGGTGATGTTGCAGCTTATCTATAGCTAGGACACATTAGAGGTGAGACAGAGGCAGAAAGCAAAAGACAGAGACAGAGAAACACATACACACACACACACACACACACACACACACACACACACACACACACAGAGATTTGAATCTCATGAAGCTTCATTTTTTTTCCTAATAAGGACTAATCCTAACATGAGACAAAAAAACACCACAACCAAAAAACACACTATTTTAAAAATTACTTCTATAGCCTACCCATTTGACTATTTAGGACCTTCTGCTATTGCTCTTATTGGAACCTGGGAGTGTGGGAAGCCTGACTCTAGTATAAGTGAATGGACTCTAGCACTTGCTTCTCCTAGGGTAAGAGAAATAATTTAAGTGATCGTAGAAGTATCAGTTTTCAGAGGATGTCATTAGTGAGTATGCAGTAGAGAGTTTAACAAAAGTGTTATATAAGAGAATAAGCATTAAACTAAGAGTCAGGAGGTCAGGATTGTAGTCCCAACTCTGCCTTTAACTAGCAGATAGCCCTATCTGGGAGCTGCTTCACTTCTCTGCCTCAGTTTTCTCATCTGTAAATTGAGAGTGTTTGGACCAGATGGCCTCCAAGGTCCCTTTCAATTCTAACATTTTATGATCCTTTGATATTTAAAAGCTTCCAGCAGTAGAGGTGAGCCCTGTTTTCTGATGGGGAGATGGCAGATTCTGTCCAGAACTTGTCAGTTGTTTTAATACCATCTTAACCTGGGACTTGAAGCGAGTTTATAGGTTCAAAAAAGCATAAGGTAAGAGACTTAGAGTGGGAAGGGACCATCTAATTCACGGGTAGGTAACCTGCAGCCTCAAGGCCACATGTGGCCCTCTAGGTCCTGAAGTGCAGCCCTTTGACTGAATCCAAACTTCATAGAACAAACCACCATGCTGCCTTTCTAACACAACTTTGATCATTTGTAAGAAACAAAACTTACCTCTGTGATAATCATGACAAGCAGGATGACTGAAAGCCCTGAACAATCATGAAATGCTACACAAATTATCCATGATATGCATATTTATTAACGTTTTTGCACATGGGTAAGAGAGCTATTTTCATGTGGGTGCAGGAGACTGGGATATACATTTGTTTGGTCTAGTGAATGAATTTGAAAGTCATTATTTTTCCCACCTTGTTTAGGCTAAAAAACAAACAAATAAAGAAACAAAAAGACAAGAAAGAGCTACTGGAAAAATCTCTTCATTTTAACCCTTAGGTAGATAATGGTAGTAGTTGTGGTGGTGGTTGTGGTGGTTGTGGTGGTGGTAGTATGAGTAGGAGTAGGAATAGTAAGGAGAAGCAATGTGGCATAAGTGGACAGAAAGCCAGACTCCAGTTAGAAAAACCTAGGCTTCCTCTTTCTCTTCTGAATATATTTGCTATAAGACTCTGAGATAAGACATTTGACCCCTTAGCACCCCAGCCAGCTTTCTAAGGCTATAAATTGCAGAAAAGATGTTAATCTACTTTAATAGATGTGTTTCTCCTCATCTGGAGTTTTCTCTACCATTGAAATCCCAAGCCCAATCCTCTTCCCTACCCTCTCACCCCCATATCAACAGCTCTCATTTACATAATGCTTTGAAGTTTGTTTTCTTATTTGAGCTTCAGAATAACACTATGAAGTAGCTACTACAATGATTGCTATTATTATCATCATTATTAATGTTTTACATATGGATTTGTAACCTGAGACTCAGAGAGCCTGAGGGACTTTGCCCGTGGTCACACAGCTAGTAAGTATGGCACAGGCAAGATTTTAATCAGGGTCTTCCTGACTCCAGCATTCTACCTCAATGCTCAAACCTAGTAACTTCAGTTCAAACATTCTGAGGTAATGATTCATGTAGATCCCTAAATAGCCTGTCTACCTACACACCCAGTATGACATGTATACTCTAGCACAATAATTTCTATGCTTTGCCTGTTGAAGTCAAGTTCCTAAGTCTTTAGTTTGACTGGGTAGTAGGAGGCCCCTAAAAGAAGATCTAGGGCAGGTTTCTAAACCTAGGGGTCGGTGAATTGTTTTCTTAACCAAATATTTTGAAAACGCTATCTCAATATAATTGATTTTTTTAGTAATCCAATGTATTTTGTTTTATGCATCTGAAACATGTTCCCAGGGAGGATTCAGTTGTTGTTGTTCAGTTGTATCTGACTCTTTGTGACCCCATTTGGGGTTTTCTTGGTAGAAATACTGGAGTGGTTTGCCATTTCCTTCTCTAGCTCATTTTACAGATGAGGCAAACAAGGTTAAGTGACTTGCCCAGGGTCACACTGCCAATATGTGTCAGAGGCCAGATTTGAACTCATCAGGAAGATGAGTCTTTCTGACTTCAGGCTGAGTACTCTACTGCACCACCTAAGTACCCAAGAAGGATCCAGAGGCCTCACCAGACTTCCCCAGGGGTCCACAACAAAAAAAGTTCAAGGACCTCCTGGTCTAGAGAAAACATAGAAATCAGAGTAAAGCTGAGTTTAATGGCAGCATTTAGTCTGAGCTGCTTAGGGAAGGGCATACCTTCCTATACATAGCAGTCACAAGTAATTCCAGTGAGACTGCCCTAATTTCCAGAGTTCCCATGCCTTAGATACATGTATCTTACATAAGCACCACTGCATTTACATTTCAAGAAGCAATTCCCCTCTATTTCCCTTTTCTTACCCAATATTTCCCTCGGTTGTTGAGATGCTTCTCTGTATCTGTTATCTGTAAAAGTCAAGGAAGGAAAGGGTCCTTGGGACTGTCCTCTCTTGGTTGAGAAAGAATCCTAACCCCTGTGAGGTATTTCCCCCCTTCATCTCCTAATAGCCAGAATCTTCTCAAAGTACCCACCCTCCTCAACTATTCCCAAGTCATCAAAAAAGACGGATGGAAAAAACCAAAAGCCAAAAGGGGCAAGACTATTATTGAGAAGAGTTTGGCAGAGCCCACCTCAATGCCCAGGAGTTATCCTAACAGTGCCCCAACCCTTAGCAAATTCGTATGTTAGAATTTCTCACCAGCTTGAGCCTTTATGTCATGAAGCTTCCCTTCTCTTTTTCTTCTGCAAGCCTCTTTTCCTTCTCTCCTTTCCTCAGCTCCTGCTCACTGACATCAGAAAAAGGGAAGCATTTCCCTGGTTGCTAAGAAACGACATGATAGAATTAAATGAAATGTTAAAAAAATAAAAAAGCACCTCCAAGTAGGAGGGAAACCAATCTAGAAGTCTGTGCCAGGATGTTGCTATCCTGACCTAGAGTTTACATTATTTTTTCACATATCCAGGCATTAGATTTCTCAGCTAAATGATTAACCTGAAACATTTATGAAGGCCGACAAGTGTAAGAAGTCCATCTCCCTGGGCTCCTGAGAGTACTTATATACTGATGGTTGACTAGATTTAGCAAACATAGCTGGGGAAAACACGCACAGCTTCTAATAATTTCACACTGTAATAATAAGCGATGCTCTTTTGCACATGAATGAACAGCCTTCTAATCCCAAATCACTTTAAGCTGTTACATCTTTTAATAGACCAGACATGCAGGAGTAGTAAGTAATAATAGAAGAAGAATGTTTTTTCAATAATATGACTTAGGTCCTAGTACTTTTATTTAATCATAAAAAGCAGTTCTTTTATTTTCATGTATAATAGTGCACAGCAAATGAAATAGAGAATTATAGCAGGATAGTAACTTCATCCCATGATCATTATTATCTGGACTCCATTGAAAAAGATGAGAATATGATGAATAATAATTACTTGGTATACACGTATGATATCATGTCATATGGCTCCACTAAAAATGTATTAAATAGTTCCTTCATTTTGTGCAATCTTTCTCCAAGATACCAAAATATCATTTTGTACTCAAGCGTAAAATTCTTAATGTATAGTGAATAAAAATAAATACTAAAGGCTTTGACCTTGGATTTGGAGGTCAAATTGAACCAATGGTCAAAGGTGTTATTTACAAATAGGTCTTTTCCAGGCAAGACACATTGAGCCTAAAGCTATCAAGGAGAAAGTTAGGACTTTTATGTCAAGAGATAACGCAGGTAACCTAAAGTAAAGCAGGATGGGAATTCTGAAGATGTTTAAAGCAATTAACAATCATGAAAGACCAGTCCAAACATACACTTTTGGAATAGTAAAGTGAACAGATTTAGAAAGCATCTTTGCTCTATAATATTACTTAGCTTACAATATTAATGAAGCATTATTCTAAGACAGCTATGAAAAGATGAACATTTTCCCATCAAAAAGCAAGATTTATAGATGTTCTATGAGCACATGATCAATGGGTTAAAAACTTGCAGAAATACTTTTGGAACAGGTATGATGTCATAGAGTAATAATGAAGGCTGGCCAACATTTGTACACCATTGGTTGTGTCAAATGTAACCAAAAGTAATTTACCTTTAGATGTATCCTGTGAAATGGCTAAGATCCAGTGGAATTAAAAACACACTCCATGGACATTATCTACACAAACTCAACTAATAATATGTCGACAGAACATTCCCACAAATAACTGGGTCATCGTGAGGATTTGCTTATAGGAACAAAGGAGTTTATAGTAGCAATTCAGGATGAAAATCCTGAACATCACCAGAAATTGCAGAAAGTTTATTCTTAAGGAGCCAGAAATGACTGATCAATACACATTATGCTAGGTAACTATGCAACATATCACTGAAGGTGGCAAAAGTTGAGTACATATCAAATCCCTAGAGAGAGACACAATTATTTGGCCAGAATTATATATTAGGAACTCACTATTTTCCCTAAACATAAAAATGCCCATACTACAAATGTACACTCCAAAACTCACCCTGAGAATTCAAAAAATAAATTGTACTGGAACTGTAATATTGCCACAAATAAAACAAAACTCTCACCTCCTTAACAACTTAAGAACTTAAGAATGTATTTAACATATGTTACCATACAAGTATACCATCATCTCCAATCCTCTGTAAGTCTCCAAATTAAAAGCTTCCAAAATCTAGCTGGAAAATCAAAACCACCATTCCTATTATTTTGTCTACTGATGAAATTGTCCCAAAGGTGCTGTCAGTGAGCTTGCAGAAGATAAGCTTACGACCTAAACTTTTATTCAGTTACTTAAGTGAGTTATTTTATCTGACTATTGTGAGGAAAATAATTATTTCTATTATTAATATTTTATTATATCATTTGAACCTAGCTATATGGGCTAGAAAATCGTCAAACCCAAAACTTATTGTAGAGGTCAGGCTGACCTCAGAGATGCTCTGGGGGAAGTCAGATAACTGCTGGGAATGCTCAGATCCCATCAAGGTCTTGTTTTAGGTTCACCCAAAGCTTGTGTTCTGGGTCCCCCAAATATGAGTGTTTATATACTTATCCCTTCCACATCTGGGAGTTAGGGGCACAGAGCCCCCACAACCTAGAAAATCTGCATAAAATTTTTTGGCCTTCCCTTTGTACCAGAAAAGAAGTCTGATTTTTTTCTTTTTCTTTTTCTTTTATAAAGTGTTTACAGTATCAACATATGTTATATGTATTTCTGAGTTTCTAAACTTTTTATGTGTCATCTGTGGCTTCTGCAATACCCCCCAAAAATTCCTGTTTAATTTCTTATGCCAACCTGTATCAAAACTGGGATGGGGAAAGTTGAGATGGGAAAGGGATAGTACATATGTGTGTATGTACATACATCCACATACACTTACATACATACACATCTCAAACTGCCCTTCCCTTGAAATTACCTACTGCCTACATGAGGCTAATCAGTCAGATATCCTAGCATTCTTGTCTGAACTCCATATAATGGAACCTCACAAGACTCAAGAGGGAGTCATACCTTTTTCTGGCTCTTTCCTTTGCCAAATAACATAATAAAATCTTTCTAAAACTATTTTAGATCTTGGGGTTCATTCTTGTGACTAACACTATGCAATAGTTTGCAAAGCATTGAATATCAAAGAACACCAGGATAAGAGCTTGTGCCAGAACCATTTCTAGCTGAACTTTATTGAAAAATATGAGAGGAATGAGAAAATACTAATAACAACGGCAGAACCAAGGGAACAAATCCACACAGGAACTCCGATAATGTGAATGAAAAGAACGTTGAGATGAAGCCCCCCTATCACTAAGTAACTGTAATGGCCAACGTTGTCTCAACACCATCCCTGTTTTGATAGATGGGTTGGGGACTTTGAACTTGGAACACTGCATGTACTTTCACATAAAGCCACTGTGTCAGCTGATTTAGCCTAATTGTACTTCTTTGTTAGTCAGTCAATAAGCATTTATTAAGCACTTTCCACATGAGGGGCATTGGGTAAAGGCACTGGGCTTACAAAGAAAGCCAAAAGACAGTCCCGGCTGTCCAGAGCTCATAGTCTAATGAGGGAGACAACATGTAAACGATTACATACAAACAGACAATAGAAAGGCAACCTGGAGATGATCAACAGAGGAAAGGCACTTAAATTAAGAGGAATCAGGTTCCTGCAGAAGGTGAGATTCAGCTGGGGCTTGAAGGAAGCCACAGGAGCCAGGAGGTAGATATGACGAGGGAGAGCATTCTAGACATGGGGGACAGAGAAAATATCCAGGGCCTGGAGATGGGATGCCTAATTCAAGGAACAGCATGGAGATCAATGTCACTGGATTGAAGAGTATACATGGAGAGTTAGTGGGAGGTGTAAGAAGACTGGAAAGGTGGTGGGGGGGAATGAGGAAAGGTTATGAAAGGCTTTGAACACCAAATATACATTTGAAGCTGGAGATGATAGGGAGGCACTGGAGTTTACTGAGTAGGTGGGGAGGAGTGACAAGGTCAAACTCGTATTTTAGGAAGATCATTTTGACAGCTGGGTGGAAGACAGAGTGGAGTGGAGGAGAGTCTTGTGGCAGGTAGACAAGCCATCAGGCTACTGCTACAGTTAGGTGTGAAGTGATGAGAACCTGTACCAGAATAAAGGCAGTCTCAGAGAGAGATTAGGAAGGTAAAATCAACAGGCCTTGGCAACAGATTGCATATGGGAGGTGAGAGTGAGAAATTGAGGATGACATCTAGGTTTTGATTGTAGGTCACTTAGAGCATGGTAGTGCCTTTGCCTGTAATAGTTAAGTTCAGAAAGGGGGAAGATTTTTTGGGAGAAAGTTAATGAGTTCAGTTTTGGACATGTTGAGTTTAAAATATCTACAGAACATGCAATAGGTATTTAATAGGTAGTTGGAGATTCAAGACTGGAGGTTAGGAAAAAGGTTAGGGCAAGATAAGTGGATATGAGAACCATTAGCATAGAGAGGTTAATTAAATCCATAGATGCTGATGAGATCACCAGGTGAAACAGGATAGAGGGAGAAAAGAAGAGGGCCCGCAGCAAATCTTTAGGGAACACCTAGTTATGGCTGATGTGATTTAGATGAAGATACAGCAAAGGAGACTGAAAAGGTGCAGTCAGATAGGAGAAGAACCAGGATAGTGAGGAGTCACAGAAACCTAGAGAAGAAAGTATCAAGGAGAAGAGAGAAGGCTCTTACTATGGAGGGTTCACTTAGTCATAAGATGGTATATCTGGAAATGACTCAAATGAAAACAAAAATGCATAGATAAAACTTTAAACAAAACCAAGCACATACTTATGCAGAAATCTGTGTTATCAAGATCATAAATCCAGAAGGTTTGGTGTTGAGAAATAGCTAGCTAAGTTAATTCTGAGTGAAAACCTATTCCTTTCATTCTTCAGTTTGTCTTGTTTTGCCAAATTTGTCATAATTTATAAGGACAGGAGTCATATCTAACTTTGATGTTTGTGTAGCATTTATTAATGTTTAATAACCATCCATGAAGATTATTTATTAAAAGAACTTATTATTGTGAGCTTCTATTATTATATGATGTGATGACTTGCAGCATGACACAGTGGATAGAGCATAAAGCTGGAACTAGGAAGATCTAGGTTCAAGCCCTGCCTCTGGCATATATTGGCTATTTGACGACAAGCAAGTCCACCAGCCTCTCAGTGCTCTTAGTAATTTGTAAGACAATATGTTGCAGAGAAGGTGCTGACCTGCGTTAGGAGAGGCAGTTTCCAGGATCAATGAAATCATAGGTCCAGTTTCTATCCTTATCATGTA